CTTAATACACCTGACCTGCTAAATACCCTCACTTAACCTCTCTGACCTTAAACGTGCTCAGAACACTTTCTTGGTCTACAGTTGGGCAAAATCATCTCACACAAAGCCTATTTTATAACAAAATGTCGAATATCTCATGCAATTTATGGAATACTGTACCCAAAGTGAAAAGCAGAATGGCTGTCCGAGTGCAGATTGATTGTTCGCATATCAACTTGTGATTGTTGTTGACCCTTGTGACTGTGCAGCTGACTGAATGCCATGACCACCGCTGCCCAGCATTCTGAGGGAGCATCATACTGCATGTTGATAGTCAAGGGGGAAATGCAAATTCAAAACTCCTAGGATGGTTCTACTGAGTGCATATCACTTTTGCACCATTGTGAAGTTTAAAAATTGCTTTCTGTTTTGTTTTTTAAATAATTTATTTTTAGTTTATTTATTTTGAGGAGAGGCAGAGACAGAGGGAAGGAGAGAGAGAATCGCAAACAGACTCTGCACAGTCAGCACAGAGCCTGATGTTGGGCTCGATCCTCTGGACTATGAGATCATGATCTGAGCTGAAATCAAGAGTCAGACGCTTAACCAACTGAGCCACCCAGGCGCCCCACGTTGAAAACTTGCTAAGTCAACCCATCATAAGCTGGGATCTGTCTGTACATCAGGTCACCATCTTTAAAACTGATGATTTCTCATTGCGTTTAGAATAGTATTACAGCAGCCCGCCATGGCCTTCTGGGCCCCACATGACCTGTCTCCTGCTCCCCAACATCTTCTGTCTTTTTGCCCCTCACTCAACCATCTTCCCTCTCTTCTTGCTTAAACATGCTATAGCCAGTTATCCCAAAGGCTGCGCCCTCTCCTTGGAAAGCTTCTTGCCCAGACTCCTCAACGCTGGGTCCTTCTCTTTACCCAGGCCTCTAATTCATGTGCCAGTAGGCCTTCCCCAGCCAGCCCTTACAGTTACTCCATCCTGTCCTGTCCTGTTTGCCTCCTTTAGCCCTTCGCTCCCTTGGAATCTATTTTGGTTTGTTCTGTGTCTTTTCCCTCCCTAGAAAGAAGTTCCAGGGACCTTGTCTTCTTGGTTCATTTCAGGGCCCAGCACATTCACCTGCAGGTTGTAGATAATAAGTATCTGTTGGCTGGGCATGTTTGAGAGGCAGAAACAGAACCTAAGGAAGAAAGTACAGCTGCCATATATTGAGTACCTGCTGTATACCTTTCTTTGTGCCAGACACGGTATAAAAATGTAGTAAGTAGGCTTGTCCTATGGTGGTAGTCACAAAGCGAGGGACCAGCCCCACCGCATAAGCACGGTTTAACACCTCTATTTGTGTCCTGTTGGAAGCAAGTCACATGGCCATCCCAGAATCGATGTGGGGAGTGTTACCCCAGGGTGTAGATTGAGAGAGAGGAATAACTTGTAGCCATTTGGTGATCTACAGAGGCTATTACTGTCCATGCGATGCATGTGTGGAAATGGAAGCTCAAAAGAACCATCATGACTTGCTCAGGGATGCTGAAACAGCTCAGAGTTTAAACCCACTTCTGTCTGACCCCAGAACCCACAGTTGTATCACCATACCATGCATCCTGCCTTGCTCTGGTGTACCACATTGGCTGCCTTGTTAGGGAGTGAGTTCCCCATGCCAGCAGAGGCCAATTGGCATTCTAGAATCCCTTCCAACCCAGTCTTGTAGGTTTCTGATGTAACCGTCTCCTCTCCCTTGATCCTAGACAGAGCACACGAGGCTTCCTGTCTCAGTAGGACTCCCTGGGGTAGCCCTGGCCTCAGTCTAGCCCTTCCTGCCATCTGTTTGGCCTTTCCTGAGCCTTTGCCTTCCCCTTCCCAGCATGAAGCAGTGGTGGAAGTGGAGACCAGCGTGGGGCAGGAGAGCCGGGGCGGTGGGTCCTAGCGTTAATGAGCCCTTCCACTCGCTCACTGAGTGCTCTTTAGCAAGCCAAGCGCCTCTCCAAGGCTGAGCGCTTTGATCATAAAGATGGCATAATCAGACTAAGAAAACCTCTATGATTCTTTCCAAACTGAAAATTCCATAGTTTCAGAATGAGCCTTTGTCTCTTGAAACACTCTCCGTTGTCCTCGGCCCTTGCTGTGCCAGGTACTTTATCTGACAGCCTAAGAGAGCAAAGAGCAACTCAGCACAGAACTTCCTGTGGGCAAGAGCTGCGCAGGGCAACCCTAGGGAACAGGCGTGGGAGACACTACCAGGAGGAGAGTCCAGAGAATGGCCGGGTCTTTGAGGCAGACCCGGAGATCCCCGCTCTGTAGCCATGTGACTTGAAAAAAGTCCCTTCACCTCCTGAACTTCCTTACCTGTAGCACAGTGACTAGAACCTCAGCCTTAGGGGCCCCTGGGTGGCTCAGTCGGTTAAGCAGCTGACTCTTGATTTCAGCTCATGCCATGATCTCACATGTCATGTTCATGAGTTTGAGCCCTGAGATGGGCTTTGCACCTGCTTGGGATTCTCTCTCTCTCCCTCCCCCTCTGCCTCTTCCCTGTGTGCTCTCCCCCCCCGCCCCCTGTCTCTCTCTCTCTCTCTCTCTGTCAATAAATAAGTAAACTTAAAAAATGTTGTAAAAAGAATCTCAACTTTATGGGATTAGTGTGAATGTTTAAAAGCCAGTAACAGTGTAAGTGTGGCGGGCACAATAGAAGCAGCAGAGAAATGGTCAAGATTTATTATATCACGATCGCATTTACTCTATTATTATGATGATTGACCTCAGTCTCCCACTGTTGTTCAGGTCCTGCCAGAAAGCTTACTTTTGAGGCAGGAGAGGTGGGAAAGCTTGGGGCTGGTAGCAGACAGGCACAGTGTCCGGGTCATTGCTACTCTGTGTTCGCTGTACTCTTTCTGTCTAGTGAAGCCCATGTGGTTGTGAGGTTCGCCACAGCAGCAGCACCTGAGAAGAAGTATTTGTGTCTCTGTGTTTGTGCTAAACCTTTGGCAGAGCGTAGAAGAAGGGCTGGCCCAGGCAGAGCTTGCTCCCCACGCAGCAAACTCAGAGTCAAAAAACCCAGAGTCAAAATTTCAGGGAAATCAGGCGGTGGGGAACTCCACTGTGGGAACTGGCCTCTATTCCCAGCAGATATGCACGCCTCCCACATCCCTGTCCCTCTAACAGCTCTTCCATGTTAGAAATTAGTGTTGTGCTTCACCCCCCAGATCTCAAAGGATTTGTACAAACAGCTGTCCCTTCCAAATGCACAGTCCCCAGTCGCTTCTCGGCCTTTTGGCTAAGATCAAGTGTAGTATCCAAATGCATGGTCCCCGCCCCATTTCATAGACAGTGAACGTGTGGTGCACATGGGATCATTCAAAATTTCAGGTTCTCTGAGCCCAGCAGAGAATGGGGTCTGTGGCTTAAGCCGAATGCAAATTTCAGGGAAATCAGGCTTTGTGGAGAAGGCAGAGCCTCTTTATGAACTGGCTCTGGTCAGTTTGATTAATATTATAAAGTACGAGAAATGGAAGGCATTTTACCCTGATGAATATCTTAATCCTCTGTCACAAAAGAGGAAGTAACTCCTGGCAATAGCAATTCACAGAATTACTGAGAGGAAACTCTGAAAGTCCTTTGAGAAAGCCATTGACACAAGATAGGTGTGCCCACTTTCTTTTGTTTAGAAGCAGGGAGATGCATGGAATCTATTTCCTGGTAATTGTCTGAATAAAGTGGGCATTCCGACCAGGAGACTGCTGATTATGTGCCTCTTGCTGGGCAGAGAAAAAATTGAAATAGGCTTTTGCTATTTCTTCACCATAGATCCCATCTGCCAGGCACTTCTAATGCCTTTGGGGAAAAAAATCTTTATAGATTTCTCTTCAAACGTTTTTGTAGAATCCTCTCCATTGGAAGAACCTTTTGTTTTTTTCCCTGGACTTTCTTCTTCCCTGCCCATAATCCTTGGCTCGGTGCCTGTCATGTTGCCTCGCAAAATTGGCTCAGACCCTGGGGCAGTAAGGACTTCAACAAATGAAGACAGCGTAACTCCAGGCAAACTCTCGTCCCTGGCATTCGCGTGTTTTTCCATTCCCAGTATTTATTCCTTCTCACCATCTCCAAAGCCCTGTCCCAGTACCCATCTGTATGGGTCTGGTCCAAGCCCAAGAAGCCAAGCTGACTGGACATTTGGATTCCCCGTTTCTCCATCAGAGGAAGGACAGTCATGAACAGGGTTGTTGAGGAAGTTCTGGAAAGGGTCTGATACATAGGTAATGAGTCGGTGGTCATAGTTGTTTTCACCCGTTTTTTTTTTTTTTCTTAATGCTTTATTTATTTCTGAGAGAGAGAAAGACAGTGTGAGCAGGGGAGGGTCAGAGAGAGAGAGAGAGAGAGACAGAATCTGAAGACAGGCTCCAGGCTCTGAGCTAGCTGTCAGCAGAGCCCGACGCAGGGCTTGAACCCACAAACCATGAGATCATGACCTGAGCTGAAGTCGGACGCTTAACCGACTGAGCCAACCAGGCCCCCCTCTTATCACTGCTGTTTTAATGCTCCTTGTAACTTATGACCCCAGTTGGGCTAAGTCTTCTATGGCTGGTCACTGCTTTAGCAGAGCAGTCAGTACACCTAGTGTACATCTGTGCTGAGAGAGGAGAGACAAAGGAGTTTTGAGCTGGAAGGGGGTCTTTACGTCACTTAGTATAATTGTCCCCACCCCCATGGAAAGAGGAGTCTGAAAAGAGACGGCTGATAGTAGGATGTGACTCCATCACTATCACACCTTCCGTTGGAAGCAGATAAAGACAAGAACCAGCAAGGTAAATATCTTAATGCCTGTTTCATAGATAAAGGGACTGAGGTTTGTGGATTTGCCCCCACTGCACGGTGATTAATGTCAGAGCAGGGGCTTGGATTGGCAGCTGGTTGACCAGGTGTCCGTGGAGGCAGAGTTGCCCTCACCCCCTCAGGAGGCTGGGTGGATGGTGCGTGGACCGGGTTCCCTGTGGCTCACCTTCCCGGTCTCGTCCAGGCTCCAGATGCTCGAGGCCATCTGCAAGCACTGGGAGGGACCCATCAGCCTGGCCCTCTACCTGTCAGACGCCGAGGCCCAGCAGTTCCTGCGCTACGCCCAGGGCTCCGAGGTGCTCATGAGCCGCCACAACGTGGCCTACCACATCGTGTACAAGGAGGGCCAGTTCTACCCCGTGAACCTGCTGCGCAACGTGGCCATGAAGCACGTCGGCACACCCTACATGTTCCTGTCGGACATCGACTTCCTGCCCATGTACGGGCTGTATGAGTACCTCAGGTGAGGACCCGTGGGGACTTGGCTGGTGTGGGATGCTCCCTAGGCTCTCGTCCCATCCAACCCTCTTGAAGATGGGGCAGCCGAGACCCGAAAGGGGATGCCTGGAGACCAAGGTCTTCCTGCCGGGTTTGCAAGGCCCGCCAGGCAACCCACCGTCTTCATTTTCCTGACGAGCAGGCCGGGACCCCACTTTGCATACTGAAATGTCAGTGGCAGAGCTTGGTCTCAGAAACATCCCTTGTGCTCACAGCCCAATGCTCTTTCCGTAGCTGCCACAAAAACGTGTCATCCTCTTCCAGTTTTGGATCAGATGACCTTCATCTAACCATTCTAGAAAGATCACCACCTTTTCTGTGTAAAACAGATCAGAGCGATGGTGAAGGCTAACATTTATTGAAGTGCTTGCTGAGTGCCAAGCGGTTCTGAGTGCCTGGCAAGTAGTTCATTCCCACCCCTTGCAGTCCCTGCGCTGGGTACTATTATTATCTTTATTTTCAGAATGGGAGTGTGTGCGGCTGAGAAGGTGAGCTGTTAGCCCAAGGTTATACACCTGCTGTGGGGGGTGGGGTCAGCCAGCCCGACTCCAGAGCCACATGCTGAATTTCCATCTTGGCTGCCTCTCTGACTCTCCAGTGACCCTTTCCAGAAGGTCTGCCCACGTGGAGGGGCAGGCGTCCAGCGGCTGGAGAGAGCCGTCGGCTCGTGTCAGGCATAGACGGCTGTGTGGGGAATGGCATTTGTTATGAAATAACAACCAATCCGAACTGAAAGGGACTGTTGAATTCATATAGCCCTAAAGTCCCCATGTGAGAAAACTAAAGTCACAAGATGTAAGTGGTCAAGTTTGTTTGTTTTTTTTAATCCTTTATTGCTGGCTTTTGTTGGCATGAATTCTCTCTGCTACCGGGTGAGTGTTTGCCTGGATCTAGGTACTAATTATCCTGCTAGAGCCACACATCAAACTTGAAAGGCAGGCATGGCTACCCTCCTCTTACTGTGGGCGTCGGTGAGGCTCAGCGGAGCAGAGTGCCCTGCGCTGGTCCATGTAGCTTGCTCCAGACTTCGAAGTGTCTGTCAGACTCCCAGTGGCCAAGCCGCCCTGCTTCATACGTGTCTGGCTGCACCCAAACTGGGCAGGATCTAAATTCTTTCTCTCCTGCTCTCTTGCCCTCCCTGCCTCTGTGTGTGTGTGTGTGTGTGTGTCCATCTTTCAGTCTTTCTCTCTTTCTCTTACTGTCTCTGTTGCTCTCACTTGTTTTTTTTTTTTTTTTGAAATGTTTAATTTGAGAGAGAGAGAGAGCGAGAGAAAGCAAGCAGGGGGAGGGACAGAGAGAGAGAATCCCAAGCAAGGCTCCCTGTTGTCAGTGCAGAGCCCGATGTGGGACTCGATCTCACGAGCCGTGAAATCATGACCTGAGCTGAAATCAAAAGCCGGATGCTTAACCGACCGAGCCACCCAGGTGCCCCTATTACTCCTGGTGTTAAAAAAGCCTCTTCTTCTAAAAGACTTCACGCCTTTTGTCCTGAAGCCAGAGCACAGGTGTGATCTAGGCCCCCTCCCCGCCCTGCTCTCCAGAACGAGGGAAGCCCGGCTGTGTTCTCTGTCTACTTTTTTGGACCGGGCTTCCTTCAGGGTGATCCTGGGATTTCATAACTTCAGTCCCTCCCCTGTGAGCAGGAGGAACCCCCCCCTGCCCAGCCTTGCCCCGTCACCACCAGCAGGGTCGGGTGCCCTGGAGCAGCATAACCGTTGGCCAGGGAGGATGGGAGGCGTCTTCCCGAAGAGAAGCTCCTGGAATGTATCTGTCTTCCTGCTCCTGCTCCAGCTGGGCCTTGGACGCCCAGTGTGTGGGCCGAGGGCGCCCCCGTGTGGTCAGACCGTGCTTTCAGCGCCTGATTCCTATAGATCCTGAAGTTTCTGGAGCCTGTAAGCTCTGGGAGTCCCACGGGGTTCCCTCAGGAACAGGTGGTGGTCAGGGGCCGCCCTCCACCAAGAAAAGAGAGGATTCAGGATTAGACTGCGAGTGGTCCTCCCCGATGTGGGGCTCTTCTGCAGGAGCGTCTGAGGGGCCTCTGGTCCTCTCTTTAAGAGTCTGTGGTCTGCTCCCCACCTCCAAGCACTATTTTATTATTTTACCTCATGGGCATCACGGTTTTAAAAAACATCACACATGAACAGATTGTTTTTATGTTCTATTCCTATGCTGTAGCGATCAAAGATGCCATTAATCTCTAATCGAGACCTTACTCAATATGAGGTAAGCAGTGTTGCCCACTAATTAGCCTTTT